ACAGGATGAGTGGCGCTGCCCAATACTGTCACTATGGCGGTGTGTCCACTCACAAGATGAGTGACGCTGCCCAATACTGTCACTATGGCGGTGTGTCCACTCACAGGATGAGTGACGCTACCCAATACTGTCACTATGGCGGTGTGTCCACTCACAAGATGAGTGACGCTGCCCAATACTGTCACTATGGCGGTGTGTCCACTCACAGGATGAGTGACGCTGCCCAATACTGTCACTATGGCGGTGTGTCCACTCACAAGATGAGTGACGCTGCCCAATAAACTCGCCCCTCGATGACAAAATAAAAAACACAATTAAAATCCTATCCTTGCCCCCCCACACCCCCATTACCCATGCACCCATTATCCCCACACCACCCCACAGGAAGTAGTGTATAAAAGTAAGACATACCAAAGGGGTTCGAGAAATAGATTTCTTAGCGAAATATCAAAAGAAATCAGTCTGAAACCCATCTAAAAAAACCATTAAATGGGAGAGTTAAGGTAAGGGATCAGGTTCCCCCTCTCCCCCCCTCCTTCCCCCTCCCTCTCCCATACTACTCTCCCTCCCCTCTTCCCCACCTTCCCCCCCCCCCTGGACCTGGCAGAGAGACACACAGCGAGGCCAGCAGCTGTATATCAAGAGCTTGTGACCATACTGGTCTGTAATAGGCGCTAAACAGTACAATTTACTGGGCCTCGTTCGAGACCCCCGTGTGTATGGGGCTTGTGATTGGTCAGTGGGATTTGTTATTGGGGTTTGGTACGGTGATAAAGTTAGGCACGTGTCTGTTTGTGTTTTAAGGTGCGTGTCTGTTTGTGTGTGTGTGTGTGGGTCTCTCTCTCTCTCTCTCTCTCTCTCTCTCTCTCTCTCTCTCTCTCTCTCTCTCTCTCTCTCTCTCTCTCTCTCTCTCTCTCTCTCTCTCTCTCTCTCTCCCTCTCTCCCTCTCTCCCTCTCTGTCTCTCTCTCTCTCTCTCTCTCTCCCCTCTCAGGTTGAGGGGGGCGGACCAGTAGCACTTTACGAGACTCTCAGATACTGCTGATGGATTTATTGTGGCGTTGATGTGCTCCCGATGTGTCACCCAGTGTTACTGTGTCACCCACCGGTACTACTGTGTCACCCACCAGTGCTGCTGTGTCACCCACCAGTACTGCTGTGTCACCCACCAGTACTGCTGTGTCACCCACCAGTGCTGCTGTGTCACCCACCGGTGACACCCATTCCTACTGGAGTCACACTTAGCGTATCTGTGCTCCCTGCGTGTCAAATAATGTCACACGAGGGTTCGACTCTCCAGTCCCCGGTCTGACACGGGGGAGGGGAAGGGGTGTCACTTTATTACCATGGCTAATCTCCCGAAGTCAGTATATATATATATATATATATATATATATATATATATATATATATATATATATATATATATATATATATATATATATATATTTATATAATATGAAAGTTTAAGATCGTGTACACCTCAGTACAACAAAAAAGTTTCTTTTTTCACGACACCGTTGCTTGTAGCGACGTTTTTTTCGCATAGTTACATTGTTTGCTGGGGCCCGGCTGCTGCGTTTTGTTGCGATATCGTATCTGGTTGAAGTGTGTTGTTGGGGGAGCAAGATCCAGTCTCCACTGCGGGTTGAGATGGAAAGGATTAAGGGAGGTTCTGAGCACCTGTTGGCTCTGATTGGTCCCATCAATCACAGTGTAGATAGCGAGGGGCAGGAGGGCCCGACCTTGACCACTTTGGGTACACCTTGGTCCCTCACCCCTGTAGGCGGTCCACCACTGTGGGGCTCGTGCTTGGTGTCTGCCAGCCACGGTGGGGTCTGGCAGCCATCGTGGGGTCTGCCAGCCACGGAGGGCACGGTGGTGTCTACAAATAAAGACGTAAAACACGTCACATGAACGTTGTGTGTTCATCATGAGTATTGTTCAAGTCCGGCGCGTCTTGGGGCCGCTCTCTCAGACCCTTCCGACCATCTGCCACTATAAAGAACCACTCAAGTATTTGAAGATCTGTTTGTCCCTTTGTTGTCCCCGGGGCGGGTTGTAGAAGATCTTCCTTGTGTTATTGTCACTGAATATAACACACACACACACACACACACACACACACACACACACACACACACACACACACACACACACACACACAGGGGCCTCGTAGCCCCCTGTGGGGGCTACGTAGGGGCCCCCTAAGGGGCCTCGTAGCCTGGTGGATAGCGCGCAGGACTCGTAATTCTGTGGCGCGGGTTCGATTCCCGCACGAGGCAGAAACAAATGGGTAAAGTTTCTTTCACCCTAAGTGCCCCTGTTACCTAGCAGTAAATAGGTACCTGGGAGTTAGTCAGCTGTCACGGGCTGCTTCCTGGGGTGTGTGTGTGTGGTGTAGCAAAAAAAAAAAAAAAAAAATGTAGTTAGTAAACAGTTGATTGACAGTTGAGAGGCGGGCCGAAAGAGCAAAGCTCAACCCCCGCAAAAACACAACTAGTAAACACACACACACACACTAGGTGGGATATCCGGTTATGTTCTCACTCTCTCTCCTCTCCTCCCTCCCTCTCCCTCCTCTCTCCCCCAATATCTCTTTCTCTCCTTATTCTTCTTCCTCCCTCCCCCCCCCTCCGGACCACATTTAAGGCAGGCACTGGGATACAGTTGACGTTTGAGTACGTACTCACCTAGTTGAGCTTTGGCTCTTTGGTCCCGCCTCTCAACTGTCAATCAACTGGCGTACAGATTCCTCACGCACTCATTCCTCGTACTCACTAGGTGAGTACGGAGTGTGTGTGTGTGTGAGTGTGTGTGAGTGTGTGTGTGTGTGTGAGTGTGTGTGTGTGTGTGAGTGTGTGTGTGTGTGTGAGTGTGTGTGTGTGTGTGTGAGTGTGTGTGTGTGTGTGAGTGTGTGTGTGTGAGTGTGTGTGCCTGCAGAATCGAGCCATTAGCTCTTGGTCCCCGCCTGTCTAACCAATCTAGTTTTCCTCTTATATCTACTACATATATTTATCTCTAACACACACACACACACACATCCCCAGGAAGCAGTCCGCAACAGCTATCGAACTACCAGGTAGCTATTTACGGCTAGGTGAACAGATGCATCAGGGTGAAAGAAACTGCCCATTTGTTTCTGCCTCCACCGGGAATCGAACCAGAGCCCTTAAGACTACGATCCCAGAGCGCTGTCCACTCCGCCTTGAGGCTCCGAGAGTGTGTGTGTGTGTGTGAGAGAGAGAGAGAGAGAGAGAGAGAGAGAGAGAGAGAGAGAGAGAGAGAGAGAGACAAGCTATCTTGCTAACACCTCATTAAAAGTTATCAAAGATAACCTAATTATAAAGATATCCATAACGTCTCAATTATGACTGTGTAGTTATCACGGTCTGGTTACAATTACATAATTATGTCTGGTTTTAACTACTAAATCTGAACGAGTTGCAAATCTTCCTTGGGCAGTCAGTCCGGTCGTTAAGTAGACTTACAAGTAACTAACGCCCTAAACTGCCCAGTTAATTGGTAATTAACTTGTTACTTGGTAAGCTGACTGCTAGTTGGGCTGTGTTGCGTGTTCTTGTGTTCTTCCCCCACCACGGCCCTGTTCTCCCCCACCACGGCCCTGTTCTCCCCCACCACGTCCCTGTTCTCCCCCACCACGTCCCTGTTCTCCCCCACCACGTCCCTGTTCTCCCCCACCACGTCCCTGTTCTCCCCCCACCACGTCCATGTTCTTCCCCCACCACGGCCCTGTTCTCCCCCACCACGACCCTGTTCTCCCCCACCACGTCCCTGTTCTCCCCCACCACGTCCCTGTTCTCCCCCACCACGTCCCTGTTCTCCCCCACCACGTCCCTGTTCTCCCCCACCACGTCCTTGTTCTCCCCCACCACGTCCCTGTTCTCCCCCACCACGTCCCTGTTCTCCCCCACCACGTCCCTGTTCTCCCCCACCACGTCCCTGTTCTCCCCCACCACGTCCCTGTTCTCCCCCACCACATCCTTGTTCTCCCCCACCACGTTCGTGCTGAACGGTTTGCTGAGGGAATTTAAAGATATTTTTATTCCCCATTTTTTACTGGGGCTCCGTGAGTGGGTCGCCCGCGCTCCTCGCGGTCAGAATACGGAGGTAATCGCGGGTGTGTTTTTCTTGCGTAGCGCGAGGCTTGCTGGTCACCTCCCTGCGGCTGCCTGTGCTGCCGGCTGCTCAGGCCACCTGGGTGACCCTGACGGTCGCTCAGGCTACCTGGGTGACCCTGACGGTCGCTTAGGCCACCTGGGCGACCCTGACGGTCGCTCAGGCCACCTGGGTGACCCTGACGGACGCTCAGGCTACCTGGGTGACCCTGACGGTCGCTCAGGCCACCTGGGTGCCCCTGACGGTCGCTCAGGCTACCTGGGAGACCCTGACGGACGCTCAGGCCACCTGGGTGACCCTGACGGTCGCTCAGGCCACCTGGGTGCCCCTGACGGTCGCTCAGGCTACCTGGGTGACCCTGACGGACGCTCAGGCTACCTGGGTGACCCTGACGGTCGCTCAGGCTACCTGGGTGACCTTTGACGGTCGCTCAGGCCACCTGGGTGACCCTGACGGTCGCTCAGGCCACCTGGGTGACCCTGACGGTCGCTTAGGCCACCTGGGTGACCCTGACGGTCGCTTAGGCCACCTGGGCGACCCTGACGGTCGCTCAGGCTACCTGGGTGACCCTGACGGACGCTCAGGCCACCTGGGTGACCCTGACGGTCGCTCAGGCTACCTGGGTGACCCTGACGGTCGCTCAGGCTACCTGGGTGACCTTTGACGGTCGCTCAGGCCACCTGGGTGACCCTGACGGACGCTCAGGCCACCTGGGTGACCCTGACGGTCGCTCAGGCTACCTGGGTGACCCTGACGGTCGCTCAGGCCACCTGGGTGACCCTGACGGTCGCTCAGGCCACCTGGGTGACCCTGACGGACGCTCAGGCCACCTGGGTGACCCTGACGGCTGCTCAGGCTATTCCTAAACAAGTGCCGATCTCTTGAAATTATTGAAAACACCGAGCAGAATTTTCTTATAACTTTGAATTTTGTTTTTCTTTCTGTGTGTTTTGAGTAGGTTGTAGTTCTCTGGGCACGTACAGTGGGTTGTACGTAGAGCGGGTTGTTCGTAGAGTGGGTTGTACGTAGAGCGGGTTGTTCGTAGAGCGGGTTGTTCGTAGAGCGGGTTGTTCGTAGAGCGGGTTGTTCGTAGAGCGGGTTGTTCGTAGAGCGGGTTGTTCGTAGAGCGGGTTGTTCGTAGAGTGGGTTGTACGTAGAGCGGGTTGTTCGTAGAGCGGGTTGTTCGTAGAGTGGGTTGTACGTAGAGCGGGTTGTACGTAGAGCGGGTTGTTCGTAGAGCGGGTTGTTCGTAGAGCGGGTTGTTCGTAGAGCGGGTTGTTCGTAGAGCGGGTTGTTCGTAGAGCGGGTTGTTCGTAGAGCGGGTTGTTCGTAGAGTGGGTTGTACGTAGAGCGGGTTGTTCGTAGAGCGGGTTGTACGTAGAGCGGGTTGTACGTAGAGCGGGTTGTACGTACAGCGGGTTGTACGTAGAGCGGGTTGTACGTAGAGTGGGTTGTACGTAGAGTGGGTTGTACGTAGAGCGGGTTGTACGTAGAGCGGGTTGTACGTAGAGCGGGTTGTACGTAGAGTGGGTTGTACGTAGAGCGGGTTGTACGTAGAGTGGGTTGTACGTAGAGTGGGTTGTACGTAGAGCGGGTTGTACGTAGAGCGGGTTGTTCGTAGAGCGGGTTGTACGTAGAGCGGGTTGTACGTAGAGCGGGTTGTACGTAGAGCGGGTTGTTCGTAGAGCGGGTTGTACGTAGAGCGGGTTGTTCGTAGAGCGGGTTGTACGTAGAGCGGGTTGTACATAGAGCGGGTTGTACGTAGAGCGGGTTGTTCGTGGAGCGGGTTGTACGTAGAGCGGGTTGTACGTAGAGCGGGTTGTACGTAGAGCGGGTTGTACGTAGAGCGGGTTGTACGTAGAGCGGGTTGTTCGTAGAGCGGGTTGTACGTAGAGCGGGTTGTACGTACAGTGGGTTGTACGTAGAGCGGGTTGTTCGTAGAGCGGGTTGTTCGTAGAGCGGGTTGTTCGTAGAGCGGGTTGTACGTAGAGCGGGTTGTTCGTAGAGTGGGTTGTACGTAGAGCGGGTTGTACGTAGAGTGGGTTGTACGTAGAGCGGGTTGTTCGTAGAGCGGGTTGTTCGTAGAGCGGGTTGTTCGTAGAGCGGGTTGTACGTAGAGCGGGTTGTTCGTAGAGTGGGTTGTACGTAGAGCGGGTTGTTCGTAGAGCGGGTTGTTCGTAGAGCGGGTTGTTCGTAGAGCGGGTTGTTCGTAGAGCGGGTTGTTCGTAGAGCGGGTTGTACGTAGAGCGGGTTGTTCGTAGAGCGGGTTGTTCGTAGAGCGGGTTGTTCGTAGAGCGGGTTGTTCGTAGAGCGGGTTGTTCGTAGAGCGGGTTGTACGTAGAGCGGGTTGTTCGTAGAGTGGGTTGTACGTAGAGCGGGTTGTTCGTAGAGTGGGTTGTTCGTAGAGCGGGTTGTACGTAGAGCGGGTTGTTCGTAGAGTGGGTTGTACGTAGAGCGGGTTGTACGTAGAGTGGGTTGTACGTAGAGCGGGTTGTACGTAGAGCGGGTTGTTCGTAGAGTGGGTTGTACGTAGAGCGGGTTGTTCGTAGAGCGGGTTGTTCGTAGAGCGGGTTGTACGTAGAGCGGGTTGTTCGTAGAGCGGGTTGTATGTAGAGCGGGTTGTTCGTAGAGCGGGTTGTTCGTAGAGCGGGTTGTACGTAGAGCGGGTTGTACGTAGAGCGGGTTGTACGTAGAGCGGGTTGTACGTAGAGCGGGTTGTACATAGAAAGAGACCCGTCTCTTTCCCCCACATCATTTGTCTTCATTCTATTGCATTTACTGAAATTGAACTCTAACAACCACTTCTCAAATTATTGCCATTTTTGTTGTAAATCGTTGATTATATGAAGGTTAGGACGCGTCCAAGACCTGACTCCGACCTCTTCACTGTGACTGACCCCCTTATGGGGGCATGGATGAGACTTCAAGGTGACTCTATTATGGGATATGTGTGTTTCCTGCCCAGGTATCGAACCCGGGACTATTCGACAGGGGCTGACCACTGTGCTACTGTTGACAGTTTGATTCCCCTTTGTCTGTATGTTTACATTTGCGCGCGCGCGCGTGTGTGTGTGCGCATTGACGAAAAAAAAGGAAACAAAAAAAAGTCCTGATGAACCAAGAGCCATTACTTGAACCATCGCCCCCTATAAGGATATGTGGGTGGCCGGCCCCAGCCACACCCACAGTAAGTGGCCGGCCCCAGCCACACCCACAGTAGGTGGCCAGCCCCAGCCACACCCACAGTAGGTGGCCGGCCCCAGCCACACCCACAGTAGGTGGCCGGCCCCAGCCACACCCACAGTAGGTGGCCGGCCCCAGCCACACCCACAGTAGGTGGCCGGCCCCAGCCACACCCACAGTAGGTGGCCGGCCCCAGCCACACCCACAGTAGGTGGCCGGCCCCAGCCACACCCACAGTAGGTGGCCGGCCCCAGCCACACCCACAGTAAGTGGCCGGCCCCAGTCACACCCACAGTAGGTGGCCGGCCCCAGCCTCACCCACAGTAGGTGGCGGCCCCAGCCACACCCACAGTAGGTGGCCAGCCCCCAGCCACACCCACAGTAGGTGGCCGGCCCCAGCCACACCCACAGTAGGTGGCCGGCCCCAGCCACACCCACACTAACTCACTTAACTTAACTAACTTAACTACCTAACTAACCAGCCACAACTGTTACACTAAGCCAGTTGTGTCTTAAACACCGGTGACTCGCCTGTGTTTCAAGATTATATCCGTGTCCTCTTCCTCTACTGTCATATACCGAACATGTACCGTGTCAACTCCATCGATTTCCCCTCTTGATTTAATATGTCGTTATTATGTCTCCTCACTTCCGTTTCTTTGCAAGTGCAGTGAGGTTCAGCTCCCTTAGCCTTTTCTTGCAGGTCTGGTACGAGTCTACCTACTTATCTACCTACTTTAAATACCTCTAGACTTTATCTAGTTTGATTTTGCGCTTCTATATATTTTTTACGGGGCGGGGAAGGATTTCATGCTGGTGCGGCATACTCCAGAATGTAGTTTTTATGTCGTGCACAAGGCTCTCTTCAATAGGTTTCAGAACTCTGTGTTGACTAGACCACACACTTAGCCAGGCCACACACACGACCATTCTCAAGTCGACTTGAGAATGGTCCAGGACGGACCGAAACGTTGTCGTCCCTTCACCTTCTAGTGTGTGGTCTGGTCAACATACTTTAGCCACGTTATTGTGACTCATCGCCTGCATTCAGAACTCTATTCATATGCTTGCTGGTTCTGTGTATGATGAGGATGATACGCTTTATGTCAGCCTTGGGTGCTGACGATCACATCATCTCCAAAGGATACCTGATCAACCAGGCTGTGACTCATACGTCAGGCTGCGAGCAGCCGCGTCCAACAGCCTGGTTGATCAGTCCGGCAACCAGGAGGCCTGGTCGACGACAGGGCCGCGGGGACGCTAAGCCCCGGAAGCACCTCAAGGTAACCTCAAGGTAAGGTATCTCCTTCGTCCATGACTCTTGTAAGTTCACAGATTCGTCTCTCTTTTATTTCATATTTGCACTGATATGGGTTGAAGTCTATTAACTATTGTTTTCAGCTATTCTTGAAGATTATTGAGATAGTTCTGCATCTTTTTTTTACGATTCTCATGTTACGTCTTTCTTCATTACTGCTGTATCATCTGCGAACATTGAAAGGAATGCTTAAACGTTCCCGTGAGGTCATTAACGTCTGCCAGGAAGGATATAAATGTTTGTATTAACCCCTTGCGGTACTCCACTTGTGGCCTGTCTCCACTCTGAGGCATCTCACCTCACCGTAAACCTCGTATATTAGTAGAGAGGTAAAGTGTAATCCCTCCTGTGCCAGGTAAGTTACGGGCTCACCATAGCCCGTGCTACTTGCAACTTGTTCCGAGTAACTGAATCTATAACAACAACAACAACAGTGTAATCCATTACGGGCTATTCATGATCGTGCCACCTCTTGGGTGGCTTAATCTTTATCAATCAATCGTGTAATCCAGTTTAACACCCCTTGTCAGTTATTCCCGCTTGAGTCTCCAGTTTGTATAGCAGTCATTTGTGTGGAACTCTATCAAATGCTTCCTCACAGTCCTGAAAGACAACCAGCCCATCCTTACACACAGAAATTGCTTGATGCATCAGATGAACAAATCTACAAGAGCCGTGACAAGGATTCGAACCTACGTCCGAGAGCATCTCAGACGCTGTGATGCTCAGCGGATGCAGGTTCGAATCCTCGTCACGGCCCTTGTGGATTTGTTCTGCCCATCCTTACCTTTCCTGTTTTATGTTTTGCCTCACCTCGGGAAATCATAAAATCATAAAATAAAAAAATCATAAACCTCAGGAAACCTTCTTGCTTGTGTTAGTAGATAAGATCTACTCCGTCGAAATGACTCATTAATTTGATGATTATAATCACAATAATCCCGAGTGTCGGGGAGAAGAAACCTGTACTTAGGCTTATCGAGACCCACTTAGGTCCACCTACTGACCTTGCCGAGGGTGTAACCCCACAACAGTGACCTAGCTTCCGGGTACCTATTTACTGCTAGGTAAACAGAGGCATCGGGGGGAAAAGGAAGCGTGTTCCACTACTTCTGTTCCACCGCACGGTTGGAACCAGGGATTCTCGATTGCGAGTCGAGAACGTAGACTACTGTAGTACAGGACCTCTATACACCTAGCAAGGAATACATGTAGTTCAGGGTCTCTTTATCTTATCTCATGAATGTAGGTATAAATTTGTCTTCTATTCCTGTGGGATAACCACTCTTTTTGATACTGAAGTGAGGGGTTGACCGTGTTGTAGTGAGGGGGCTCGGCGCCCCCCCCCTTCACGATCCACCAGGAAACTTGATCACGCCTCCCTTGGCTTCTGCCCTATTAAGTTACTCTTCATTTCTTGTCTTTACATTTGCGTCTATGAGCATGTTTGTGACTGTATGCACGTGTTACTTTATATGAGGACGCGGACAACTTGTGCTCTTGCCGTCCCATAGCTCTTGTTAAGTCCTGGTGTTGCTAGTTGGCCTGGGTCACGGCGGCCTGTAGCCTTGGCCTCCACACTTGCAGCCTTGGCCTCCACACCTGCAGCCTTGGCCTCCACACCTGCAGCCTTGGCCTCCAGCAGCTGGAGACCTCAACACCGACGCTTCACAAGTAATGATCCCCAGGAAGGTAGGGCGGGACCTCTACCTCTTCACTCCAGTTTCCGTTGGATCTTCGCGATCTTTTGAAGGAACTCCTTGAGAAACCTGATACCTGAAACCACCCCCGACGGGTTTCACCACTGTGAAAGGCCTCAAAACCTCTCTCAAACGACCTGCTGGTGAAGCTATTGAAGATTCTCAAGATGAACCTCTTGAAATTCTCAAAGAACGTGTGTGGAGACGGTTGGATACCTTGTGTGAGGAGTGAAGGGTGACCTTAGACATTCCTGCGTGGCTGTTGCCCCTGGAGGTTAGTACAAGGGACCCTACATGGCCAGGGGCTCGGGCCATCATTGCCAGGGACTCCGAGCCCTCATGGTCAGCATCGCGCTGAATAGTTTTGCCTATAGCCCTTAACGCCTTACCTCTAGCCAGAGCGAAGGCTGGAACACTGACACAAGAAGAATGACTAAAACAAAACAGAAAAGTTAACAAAACAGACATTCTTCTCAGACAAAGATGGAGGTGAAGTTGGGGGAATAAAAAAAAAGAGATTCCAGATCTAATTCCTCAATGCGTCTTGAGGAAGTGTATAGGCCTAACCTGTGGACACAGGTGTAGGGACAGGTGTGCTGGCATGGCTGAACTTCAGCACTCTTGGCCTGCATCTTAGTCTTATATATCAACTGCTTTTCCAGCCCTTGGAACTTTTCTCGTGATTTCCTATGAGGCGCGGACAGGAAGCCTCTTAGGCTTATCAAGGCCTAATGGCTTAATGACTCATCTTCTCTAGGATGCAACCCACAATAGCCGCTTTACTCCGAGGTTCATATTTACTGCGAGGTGAACAGACGCATGAGGTGTAAGCAAAGGTGATCAAAGCTCACGACCTCATCACATCCACTGGTGGATGTGGTGTCCACCTGTGTGTGTGGTGTCCACATCTGTGGGAGTAGTGTCCACACCTGTGGGTGTAGTGTCCACACCTGTGTGTGTAGTGTCCACATCTGTGGGTGTAGTGTCTACACCTGTGTGTGTAGTGTCCACACCTGTGGGTGTAGTGTCCACACCTGTGGGTGTAGTGTCCACACCTGTGGGTGTAGTCCCCCTGTGTGTGTAGTATCCACGTGTGTGCGCGCGTAGATACCATTGGTCTACACACACATCCGGGAGATGGCTGCCCCTATAACTTTCACCCAGGGACCAGCCGGGGTCACCCTCACCCCTCCAGAGGCCGGAGAGGTCACACCCCACAGTGGAGGTCAAGATCACAAGGTCTCCCAATAATATTAACCCCCACAACTCCCCCCAGCATGTGCACCAAGCGTCAGACGATATTGACCGAGAAAGTAGTGCCCGATATAATAGTAGTTTGAATGGTGAATTGTGATGTCCCTGAGGGGAATGGCCAAGTGCGCCCCTCGACACTCCCACTCGCCTGCCCGTGACCCCTCACCAAGGCGTCTGGGAGCGTCCCTGGCCACAGCATCGCGTCTTGTAAGATGTCCTGTTTACGGGATAGGCGGGGAAGGTGGTGGTGTTCAGAGAGACCGGGCCTCACTAGTCAGGTGTGTACGCCAGCGGGCC